TTTTTGTGAGTGAAGATAAAAGATCGAGCACATAAAAAGATTATATCAGTTCACTAATATTATCCTTGGTCAACTTTATTAAATCATATATGAAGGGAAAGACTATATTGAGACCAACATTTTGTTACTAGTATCATGTGGTTTGAGTCATTAATCTGTCAAGGTCATTCAATAAGTATCATAAATTTTCTAAAGTGCAATTTTGTGTCTTTTCAAATCATATTCAGAAGACTCCTATCCAAAAAAAAAAGTTCAAATTAATTCAAAACTAATATGATATTCATAATTAGTATGAAAAATTTACTCTAAAATCCTTCCCCATCAGGGATCAGACGAACAATGAATTGCATCAAACATCATCTCTACAATACAAAGAAATCTTGAAAGTTGTTTAAAAATATTAAATAATAGATATCTATAAAATAAAAGCAAATTTTTTCATTGAATTCATTTTTTTTGTCTTTTACTTACAGCTGACAAAAATATATTCTTTAAATCATATATTAATCAACTCAATTGTTTATGTTGATGACGAATATTATATGAGTTGTGACTCAAATTACATCCTAAGAATAGTGTATTCTAGAATTTTTCAAGTGGCCAAATTTTTTTTTTTGTAGTTTAAAAAATATATGCTTTTGTAAATTTTTAAAAGTTCAATTAAATAGTATTTTGTTTGGTTTTTCTCAAATTGATTACACCATGTTAGTATTAATTATTAGAATAATAACTAAAACTGCATAATATTAGTATCAAAATATTGACCTTAATATTTTTTATTTATTGATATATGATTCAATGAAGTTGACTAAGTAAAAATTCTAGTGACGTCTGATTGCATAGGAATGCACTTCGTTTTTTTTTTTTTTTTGAATTATACTTTTGCATGATCTCTATGTGTTGTATTTATTTACTTCTTCATCGATAAAGTTTATTATTAGGATTGATATATTTATAGATCAATAACATTATCGTACTACGTTGATAATTATTGAGTAGTTTCTTTTTCTTTCTTTTTTTAATGTATTCTTTATACTTGCGTACGTACGATCAATTACAATATATAACTCTTTATGATTCTTTTTTTTATTATTATTATTTATTTCTATACGATAAAGACTTTTATTCTATATCTAAACGTAATATCGATGAATAAATATTATATATGATATCAGTAATGATGTAATAATAAAACGATAAAATGCACTGAACTTTAAGAAAAAAGAAGAAAAATAAACGCAGTTTACTATTTTTGGAACATTAATAAGAATGGTATATTTATTTCTACTGTTTTCTCTCTTATTTAAGTATAAAATATACATGTTCTTTCGAAATTCTATGAGTCAACCAAGGCAACGTCATCATCCGCAGAATAGTATCTCTATGCATTTGCTTAGTGTGATAAAAGCACATGCACACACATGCACACACATGCACACACACTGAGGTCATCGAGTAGAATATAAGAAAAAGAACGAGAATACTACAACAGCCGCAAATATGTTCCGACGGGACGAAAAAAACGACCTTTGGCTTAACTCATTCTACTCTCATAATCAACGAAGGAAAGAAAATGACAACGATACGTTCTTATTGACCCTAAAACACAATGGAACACTGATCACGTTAAATTCGACACGAGACATCATGATTCATCTATAAAAAAAAGCAAAAAGAACGTTACGAAAAAGAAAGAGAACGAGAATTTACTCGATATAATCACATATATATATATACGCAAAGCATCGACGAAGAACATAAGAAAGCAATAGCTCCGTAAACACACACACACACACATCAAGCAAGAAAAGAATACTATTAAAAGTATAAATTTTATTTTATTATTATTATATATATTTTTGTCAAAATTAAACAAAATAATGGTACGTGAATCTAATATATTAACAAATGAAAATTATTCAATTGAACATATTGCAACAAAAATTGTTGATAATGATGATGGTATACAATTTGAAGAATTACCAACAAAAGAAAATGAAATAATACATAAAGATCAAACAAATACAACAGATGATGAATCTGGATTTTCTGAAACAACAACAACAATATCAACATGTACATCACCAATACAAATAATAACAGATGATGATTATGAATTAGCATCAAAATTAACTGATGATAGTAAAAAAGAATTTTGTTCGGATATGTGTTTAGTATTTCATGCTGAATTTCAATTAACATTTGGTCGTTTTTTTACATCAGATCAATGGATATTAATGCCATTAGGTGCTGATGGTACATGTAAATTACCAATAGATACATTATGTGATGTTGAAATTGCTAAAGTACGTTTTGAATGTGAAGCATGTAAACATTGTTGGACATCAATGCGTGGACAAATATCATTTTTTTATGATTGTCAATCACATATACTTTATTTTAAATTATTTACACAATATTGTGATCAATGTGGTTCTATATCAACACCATTATGGTATCCTGAAGAAGTATGTCGTGTTATGAAAAATGTTTTTGTTATTGTTCAACAACATATTTATCCTGATTTAAAAACAACAATACAATCAAATTATTATCGTCGTTTAGGAAATCCAAAAGGACAACATCATGGTTGTCAATCATGTCGAGATGGTGTTTGTGTTGCATTAGCTGCACAAGAACTTGGATGTAAACTTGTTAAATAGATTTTTATCATCGTTATATTATTATTTTTGGTTTTGTTTTCATTATGAACATTATATACTCTTTTATAGAGTATATAAAATTTTCATTGGTTTACCTTTGATTTTTTTTCTTTGGTCTCGGTGTGTCTAGTCACCTGATTCTGTTTCTTCTCTACCTTGATTTTGTTTATATGTATATATTTGAGAGCACATTATGTTTCTTTCGTTTGGCTGATGTAATTTTTTTTTTAAAGTTTGTCTAAACTGTAGATTTTTGTTTTCTGTCCTTGTCGTCTTCATGCATTTTTCTTTTTCGTTACTTATCGTTCATTACGTATGTTTTTTTTTTCTGTTTGTTTGTTATGCATTATATGATAAATATAAATAGTTATAACATCATTTTACTCAGTTTATACAGTGCAACTTCTAAAAACCACAAAAATTATTCATAATTTCAATTTTCAAAATTTCTCTCTACTTCAGCATACTGATAATAATGATGATAAAAGTCTAGATATCATTCAGTACGAAGAATGTTGTACAAAGGACAAAATTCCTCAATTAATTATCAAATGAAAAAAAAAATACTGAATACATAAAACTATATAATAAATCAGAGAATACCCGTTGACCTTTAGTCTTTCTGTCAACTTATAGTAATCTTTCATTTTTTTTTGTTCTCTTTTTTATTTGAAAAAGAACAAAAAAAAAAATAAGTCGTAATTTTTTTTGCGTATACAATATCCTTTTTATTAACCTTGATTGATTTTGATTAAAATTTTAAACTAAAAACCTACATAAAAAAAACTAAGATAATGAATATATCGTACATTTTTTTGCTATGTGGTATCAATGGTAAATATTGTCATTAGAAATGGATTGTCGTGTGATGTAGACTAAGACTTTGTATTAACGATTGTGTAGAGGTCAAACAGTACGTTGATACACATATTTATTTTTCTTTACAATTTAATAAATAAAAAATAATAAGAAATCTATTTTCTTTTAGTAATAATAACATAAGAAATTTATTAAGTTAATAAACATAATATTTAGAATTTTTGGAAGAATAAAGATACAATAAATATATTGTGTAGAAAAAGAAATTTTTATCTTATTGTATAACGCCAATAATTTCAATTATTACTATTTATTTATGTTAAAAAAATTTTTTTTTTTTATAAATTTAACTAGTTATATATGAAAATAATATAAATTCTATTATCTAGATGAAAGAATTTTTTGTTTTTCTCGAAATTTTTCATGTATCTTTATAGAATAATGGTCTAGAAGCAAAAGAAAAGAAAATTTTTGATATGTAAATTTTTATATCATCATTAATCTCATAAGAAAAATGCTTGCAATAGAATATTAATTGGAATCTCTACAGGAAATCAAAATATGCATGACAATTATTCTTTTTAGATTATATCTGATAGCTCAATGTGCAATTATATATCAAGTAGAAAATTTATTCCTGTTAGTTTTTTGATCTATGATCATGAAAGCTAACGCCATCTATTTATCATTAATCATTTTTACAACCAGTTGCCGAAGAAACCAAAGAGAATATATATATATATGAAAAATGGCGTATGGATTTGATTGATGTCAATAATGAATGAATACCGCAGAAAAGAGAAAAGAAAAGAAAGAGAAATGCAATTACTTGTTCTGTTTCGTGTCAATAAAATTTTGTTATTTACTACTTTACGAGAATTGGCAGATTTATATAAACTATTCAGGTACAAATGACAAAATTTACACAACACATAATCTTATGCAGAAATTCAATTCATTATAAAAAAAAAAAAAAATGTTCACAGACATCGATGTACGATTGACAATATACATGACACAAATATATATTTTGATTCTCTTGAACTATACTGCTTCATCTATGCTTGTTCTGTTATTCTTAGATTTGATATATACAAAAAAGAAAAGAATACTTGAATAATTTGAGCGTATAATTACATTTCTTTTTTTTCACTCGCTCTCTTTGACAGATGAGAGTGAAGAAAAAAAATTTTCAAGTTCAAACAGAATTTGATACTATACAATTGAACAATTTTTATGGATTGATTTACAAGAATGTTCTTTTTTTCCTATATGCTTATATTTAAGATAATTTAAAAATGTCATCTAAACTCGAACGACCATCATCACTTCATGATTTACTTGATGATATTGTTGAAACATCATCATCATCTAATCCAATATCTTTTCGTTTAAGAAATAGTTCGAAAACACTACAAAATCGAAATTATTTAAGTTATTCAAGTGTACCATCATTATATGATAAATCGAAATTTGAACAAACAGATACTTCATTATTAACAACATTAACAAATGAATATCGTGATCGTACTCATATCACATTACCACGTTCAAGTTCATCGATAATAACAATGAGTAATGATGATCGACGTAAAGAAATTGATCTTATTATAAAAAGTTTATATGATGGAAAAATATTAACACCGATTACTGATGATCATGCTATATCGGATATTTCAGATCCATCAATGAATATTTTAAATAAAGGACCAATAACAACAACAACAGCACCATTAATCAAAAATGATGAGGAAAACAATAATAATTCTAGAAATGTTGATGTAAGTATTGTAATAAACTTTAAAAAGAGAAGTATTAATATAAGCAAGTCGCAAATAATAGAGAAAGAAACGGTAGATTTTTTAATTTTTTCACAGTATTGCAACTCATAGAATGCCTTTATTATAAAAATAGATAAATCTTGATTTCATGTACAATCTATTCTCTTAAAAGATACTATAATCAAACAAAGATGATATATAACATTGAATCTTTTAGTATGCGTTTCTTTTTCTTTTTTTTATCTATTTATGCATTTGTTGATAGCGTATCCTAAAATTCTCGACTAAACTTCATTGACATCAATGGAAACATATTTTTATTGAAAGAAAATATGACACTGCAATGTCTGACCAGAATTCGTTTTCTTTTTTCGAATTAAGTCTTTTTATTATAATATAAAAAAGCACTTCTATTAATATATGACAATTTTTTGAGAGGTTTTCAAGGTATTGAGCGTGTCGTACGTTTTCTTTGTATAAAAATGTAAGAATTAGAAAAAAAAAACGAAAGGGTTGCTACGGGTACTGGACTCTGACATGCTCTTATTAAAAAAAAAAATTAAATTTATAAAATGTCAACTCACAGAAAATTTCGTGTCGCTGGATGAGCTCTTTTCATGAAAATTTTTAATATAACCTCTCTACTATCGCTTCAATATATTCTGAAAATCTCGTATGATTTTAAAATATTTGGTTGAAGATCGGTATTTGACTAGGGTGACCTTACTCGACTGAATATCAATCTCAATGCGTAAAAACTAGTGGACGACATTTCAAAGGTATCAAATCATTCTTTCGGAATTAAAAAGAATTGAATAAATCCTTGTACACCTTATCAACAAGAAATTTTTTGTATAGTTAAACTCTCAAAAAAAGTAATTTTCGGTATATTTATTCTTTCGAAAAATCAAATACACTATTTCAATAAATCTTTTTTTTTTTTGGTATAATATTAAACTTTATTTGAATCTAATAAATAAGATTATAAATAGAAATGCTCAAAGTTCATATATATCCCATTATTTGTAGATATTGATTGTGAATACTTAAGATTGATTCTATTGTTGATATTGCATAAGCAATTTTTTTTTAGTTGCATACTTTTCAAATCAATCGAACAAAAGAGAAAAGAATAAATTCTAATTTAATTTTTGTTCATATGAATATTTACTCTTCTTATTCTATAGTATTTCGATTGTTATCAATTAATTAAATTCATCTATTGATAACTAACTAAATATTATTCTAAATTTCTATAATATATCATCATATTTTAGTTTCTACCACTTGATAATGATATTTCACCACTTCAACGAGAATTACAAGAAAAAGAACTTGATATAATTCATTTACACAAAGAAATTCAAGAATTACAACTTGAAAATAAATTACTCAAAGCAAAAGCACCAAGTGTTTATTCAAATGGTTATGCAAGTGTATGACATATTTGAATACTGAAAAAAAAAAGAAAAACTTAATTTTCGATTGTTTGTTTATATATATATATAGAATAATAGTGAAGCAGAAGTACTTCGTCGTGAAAAAGATATTTTACAAAATGAATTACATACATCACAAGAATTAATTTCAAAATTTCAACAACAACAACAGCAAAATGTCATCCCTATTCGTTCGAATAAAATTGATGAAAATACTTTACAACAAAAAGAAGCGCATGAAAGAAAATTAAGTTTGTATTTTTATTTATTAATTAATTAATTATATTTTTATATAAAAATTTATTTGATTAAAGAATTTTATGAAAAACAAATGCGTACATTAACTGATGAAAATGAAAAATTAAAACAAACATTACAACAAACTGAACGTATTATTGCACAATATAAACGAGATAATGAAGAATTAAAACAGAAAGTGATTTGAAATAATAATTATATTAAGTTATATTAAAGAATTCTTTTATTTTTTTTTTCTTAGATAACTGAAGCTAAAAAACGTAATGATGAATTATTTTTTCAAGAATTTAATTCATTTCGAAATGACTTAAAGTATAGTTTTCAAAAAAAAACAAAATATCAGTTTTAATAAAATAAAAGAATTTCTTTATTAGAATGCTTAAACAACGAAATAATGAATTATTTGAACAAAATCTTCGTTTACAACAAGAAAAATTAAATTTTACATGGCATTCATCGACTCATGAACAACAACAACAACAACAAATGTCATCTTCATCCACATTAAAAATATCGAATTCAGATACAAAGAATTTGAAAAGTAAATAAAATTCAATATATATATACACTTTCACTATCCAAATAAATCTATAACTGTCGAAAAATTACTCGAACTCAGTTGAAAATATTTTCTTTTTTATCCGCTAGGAACAGTCTTATTGGGCAAACATATCGATTTAAGTTTTTCTTCCTTTTTCTGATTCTATAAACATCAAATTAACCTCTCGAGTATCTATATCTGGGTGCTGATCGTGATATAAAAGCTCTTTTTAAGAGTTTTTTACTGTTTATTTTCACAAGTTTTTTTTTTTGCTATTTTTTAAGCAAGTAAATCTATGATAAACTACCATGTGAAAACTCGAAAATTTGCATAGAGATAGACCTTAACAAAAATAATTTCTTGTAAATGTTTCATGTATTATCGCTATTCCTATTGTAAAATACAACTAAGATAAAAGCGTATCTTTCATATCACTTATATGAGCTGACAGATTTGATGTTCTTATTTCAGGAGAGCATCAAATCAAAAAAAAACTGAAACCATCACAATAAACGACTGTGTCTCTAAATTCGAAAATTAGTTTTTTTGGTGTTCCTGAAGGAAATCATTGACAAAAGATAAACATACATAAAATAGAATATCGGTACACTACATAAATTTCTATTTCTTACCGTCAAAGTTTAGCATAGATCGTAACAAAATAACGATGTATTCACGTACTGATTAAATAGTTCATAAAGTCTATATGCATCATCATTGCTTGTATTTTTTTTTGTTTTTGTTGTATAGTACCTCGAAATGAAAGTCCAAATATATCCGAAGGAAGTGATTCAACAAATTATTTAGCAACAGTTAGTATTGAACGTTATCATACACGACCATTAACATCGGCACATCGTTCAAAAACAGTAGATGAAAATCATCATTATTATCGTACAAAAAAATATAATACACTTACTGGACAAGAAAATTTTCATGGAAATGATTCTATAATACCTTTATCGAGATCTGTTGATCAACAATTTAATTATCGTTCATCAAAAATTCAACGTGCTATTCAATGGAATGAAGAAAATATATCAAAAAATGAAGGTAATATTTTCTTGATATAAAAATCATCAACTATAGATAGAATTCTCTAAATAGACCATTAGTCTCATATAACTCGGTAATCAAAACAAAAAAAAAATTTTTTTTTTTTTATGTCAACTTTGTCAAATATTTCTTATTGCTCTGTCTTTCTTTTGCTTTATATTGTCGTACTCATTTATATTTTACACTATTAAAATTACATAATTTCTTTTATGTTGAATGTTTCTGTTAGATATTAAAAATTATGGTGATGATTATCATCAATCTACAGATAATACAAAACCATTATCATCAACACATTTCTATCAATCGAATTATCCTATTCATCGTAGTATGACATTTAATGAACGTCAACGATCAATGAATCATGATATGAATAATCAACACGATGGTATTTCAGTTTAAAATTGTTTTTTTTTTTAATAAGCATGTGGATTTTTTTTCTAATAGATCGTCGTCAAAGTCGAAAACATATTGAAATTCCTGTGTAAGAAATAATTAATATTATATTGAATAAATATGATTTATATTTATGTTTCGAATAGTCCTCGACGTCCATTTGCTCCATCATCTATTAATGATATTCATATAAATGATTTAATAAAATTTACTCGACCAGGTGGTAAAATAAGTAAAGGTATGGTTAAATATCTTGGATCATTACCTGGTAAAACTGATCAATATATTGGATTAGAATTAGAAAATGAAGGTAGTAAATTTTAAAAAAAAAGATAGAAAAGTTTTGTCTTTTTTTTTTTTCTTTATATAGAAAGTAAACATGATGGAGTTTATCAAGATAAACGATTATTTCAATGGTAAGATTAAAAAAAAAATTTTTTTTTCTACATAGAAAAATGTAATGAATTTTATTGAATATTTTAGTAAACCAAATAAAGGAATATTTATTGGATTTAATAAAGTAATTATGGCATGGAGTGAAACATAAAGTCTTTACATACAGATGATCTGATAATCGTATTTTTATCTTTTGTTTTACTTTTTTTGACGTTCGTTTTTTTCTTTTTGTCTAAAGGGTTTATTGTTACAGTAGATAAAAAACTAATGTGATCATTTTTTTTT